TAATATTTTGGGAAATTTGAGGAGGATAGGTTATGTAAATCACACGCTAAATTTGTAAATAGCCCTACTTATTTTATTAAATGAAATGAAAGGAGTGCCGTACTCTGCCTGGAATTCACAAGTAAAAGACCACGGTATAGAAAACCTTGTTCACTATTCCAAAGGATCTAACTATGCCGTTCTGTACTTTAATAAAAGAGAAATAATAACACAAAAACTGTCTTCATACAAGGTTTGAGGCTTAACACACTTAAAACCATTCACAACTGAAGAGGTTTTGTTAGTTAGCAGGTCCCCACCTGCAGGTACTGAGGTCCTGGATTCGGGAGGCTACTCAGCTAGAGTTGATATGTTTGGTGCCAATATTATTAGACTCTGAGTTATACCATTCATTGGTTTTGACTGCTCACTTGTTTGCTAAGATATTCGCCCAGGCACGGTTGGAAATTATTAGTACACGCAACAAGGCCCTTATTGTCACACTAAGTCATACTGAACCAAAAACATCGGCACGAATGGACAGTAAACAATTATTGGATTTAATTTTAAACTAGAAATTATTCACAGCATAAATCGAATATATTAAATACGTGCATATGTTATGTATTATCCTTGTCAGATGAAATGAATAAGGAATAACTTTAGAACAGAATTTTACAACAGGAAAACAAAATATATGCTTTAGTTAACACTAGTTAAATAATGAGACTGAACATTTACGTTGCCTTTAATAACATTCTTTGTCACAAAACTTACAAACCAAAAAGCATCAATGCGTCTCGAATAGTAGTCTAAAAGCTATTCCTTAAACTATATTATCGCTGTTATTTGTCTGATTTCTCTCTCCCTAGTTTGCGAATAATATTTTAAAAAACAGTAATTTTATTTATGTATACAGAGTGTCTTAAAAATGAATGTTTTGAATTTAAAGAAATATGTCTATTTTTAAATAGGCGGTTCATTTCAATAGGAAGACATTTCTCTTCATTCACGAATATTAGTTGGCTGATTATTTCAGAGAGAATGAACAACAGAATAGCCATTAGGCCGGGGCGAAAAAAAAAGTTTTGGATGTTTATCTTGTCATAAACGGCCTACACACGTAACGATTTATCGTACTGTATGCAGTACGATATCCATCGAAACTGCCGCATTAACGATAAATCGTAGCGTGTGTAGGGAAATTGGATGGTTTGCAGTATGCAGTCGTCAAATCGTTTGCAGTACGGAGCTTCCGTAAAATATGTATCAACGGGTCGTGTCTGGGGTGGGGTTTGAACGGAATTCTGAACGTGTGGAGTGTATTCCCTGTCGCAGCGCGCAGTTACGATATAATTTTTATTTATTTTTGGTTTAATCAATATTATGGATTTAAAAAATAAGACGTTCTGGGAAGACTTTATTGATTTATTTAGAGAAAATAGATGCCTATTGGATGTGAAATCAAAAGATTATGCAAATAAAATGAAAAGAAATTCCAGTTACGAAATTTTGTGTATTATTATTTTTTTTTGAATATTTCTTTCTCTCCAGAAACCACTTTTTACACCATTTTCGCTTTTTGATTTCTTTTTGTTTGCTGATCATCTTCGTCTATCAGCAATAACGCAGCTACAAGCACGGCACCTTTCTTCTTTGAAATTCTTGACATAACGGTAGCCCTTCTCGACGAAAAGTGAATAATCTGAACTGCGGCAGTACAATGAATTGCATCGTGTGTACAAAAAATGGCTGTACTGCAAGCCGTACGATTTTCTTTACGATCTGTAGTTCAACGCGCAGTACGATAAATCGTTACGTGTGTAGGCCGTTATACTTTTAAAAGTGTGTTGATTTGATTTATTAAAAAATTGAGTTTGACCGCGCCCCTCCCCCACTGAAAATGTCAAAATATCAAACTCAAAATTAATGGCCGTGATAGTGTTAAAACTTATCCATTGTGCTTTAGAATGACTCAGAATTAAAAAAATATATATTTGACATGGTAATTTGATTGTTTTGGGAATTATGAAGGCCTTGCTTTGAATTGCCTCTCTCAGATCGTAATCACTTATGTGCTTTGTTAGAGGCGGCTCTGTAACATTAAATTTGCTCCAATCGGTCAACTCTGTATATTCCTGAGCCTCGAAATTTATTTAGGGAACTTTAAATACCCGCAGTCTGGGCGGTGTTTCTCTTGCTTTCCAAATTCGTCTGATTCCGAGTTCTCTGATATGTGGTTCTCGGGGTGGGCAAAATAGCCATTTATAGAAATTACCCGGTTGATGATAGTTTTCATTTTATCAAGAAAATGTCTTGATTTGTGTATTAATTGCCACAAATGCACAGAGCCATTCTGAGAGCCGGGCTGTGTCTTTATAGAGAACCAGACAGGAGCATAAATTTGCATGACAAACGTACCCAGTAAAACAAGGTTTTCTGAAGGCAAGTCTGTGGAAATATATAATCGCAGTAAACGGTTTGCCGTTGTTAGCCATCTTGCATGACTCATCTTTCCCGGATCTTTCTCAGATAAACTGTCTGGGCAGATTCCATCTCGGACAGCAACACATATACGGTATAGATATTACTGGTCTGAGCTAAGATCTTTTTCATCGACATGACATAAAGTTGTGTCTATTTTCTGGAAAATTTACAACTGGTCTTGATTCACATGCTGCCAGCTTAGATCCAATAGGCTTAGAGTAAGAATAAGGTCCTTTAGTGTGTCCGTCTAGGTCTGCAAGGAGATGGCGCAGCTGTAGTTCGTTGGTGTGAACCAAGCAAATCAACAATTGCAGGGGTCTTTTAATATATGAATTTCCAGCAGCCATATTATATAATTCCACTCTTCCAACCAGTATTCACGTTCGTACCGTCACATCCAACAACTGTTAGACATTTCAGGTCAATAGATTTAGCTTCAATGAGTGGTATGATACTTTTTGATATATTCAAAGCAGTGCCGGAGGTACTCATGCTTGTATGGCCAATATAGGTGCTGCCTGGCTCTTCAATTATCGATATAATATGTTCCTGCTGTTTAGGAATACGACGTCCTTTAACAAGCATCATGGTCTGGTCTTTTCTTCATCATTCTGGTCTCGTGCAGCCATAAATACGATATACTTTACCTTAGCAGGGCGCGGTTAAAAATGAAGTAAACTGAATAAAACAAAATCTGGTTTATTTTTATCATTAATAAAATCGTTTTTTCGATATGACATAAAAAAATATTGAAATAAAAAAAAACCTTTCATCTCCCAGAGGGGCGGCTAAAAATCATTTTAAAAATCCAAAAAAAAATCACAAAGATTTTTGACCTACCACACAACTTTTTGTCTCTATGACATATCATTTTTCGAAAAAAAAATTTTTCGCCCTTTTTCGCCCCGGCCTAATAGTCATACGAGTTGGAACGGTACCAGATTCGAGCATGATTGAACGTATGGTATGGCCTTTTTGTTTTAGAACTATTATATTGTCACATTCTTTTCTGTATTTACCCAGTAACAATGCCCAATAACATTGATAGACGCATTTACTTTTAAAATTATGTACTTCTACGAAGAATTACATTTCTGTTCTTTAGTATGTTTAGAATTAATTACTAGATATATGTATTTGTCGGAACTCCCCGATTGGTACCAAAGATATGGTTGCCTACTTCCGGTTATTTCGAAATTAAATGTCAACTTAGGTATTTTAAATGAAACAACCTTATTTAATTTATATTTTTATTCGTTGCGTTAGATTCTAAACATTTCCTGATAATATAACCAAATTTGGTATGTTAGTATATGACATAAATGATTGAGGTATTCAATCATTGATTTGATCTCGCACCACTCTGGCACTTTGTGTCATTGTATCGGTTTTTTAATCGCGGTGCGATCCCTTTAGACACACATTTATTAATAATAATATTCTGTAAAATGTAATGGGGGTCTAATAAAGAAATTTGAATTTGAATTTGAATTTGCATCAGACCCAATTTTTTTCAATTTTCGGTTGTCTTACCGGAAATGACTACAACTAATTTTTAAATGGTACCACATTATTTTTTTTTACTTTACATGATATAAAAATATCAGTCTGAATTGAATGAATGAATGATTGATTCAGGCAAAAGCAGATAAATCCGTTGACTGGGACCTTTACAACATTAAGAATATGCAAAACGGCCTTAAGATCGGCCTCAGGTAATTTCAGGTATTTTCGACTTCAAGCTAATTCTTGTAATAATAAACAACAAAACATGGTCAAAGTACAATGTTATCAGAATTTTAGAATAGAATTTTTAAATGAAACACCTCAACAGATTCTTAAAGCACGAAAGGAAGTTTCAGTGGCATTAGAGGAAATTCCTTTAACGCCGATCTCTTCCTGAGAAAAAAAACCCTAACTCATCTGTTGGCTCAACAATTTCGTCCATACTGGAAAGATGATGAGAGCTTAGCGTGGTTCAAAAATAATATATTGCTTGAAACCATTGATGGTACTGCCGAAACAGAAGACAAACAAGAAGATCAAGTCTTGCGATTGCCTGGAAGATGATGTAGGAATGCACGTTTAAGTTGCCCAGGGTACTATGACCATAAATTTATGGCCATGGCACCCTAAATTGAAATTTAAATTTTTTAATTTTTTGGCTTATTTTTTATAATTGAAAATGCCAAAGCTTAACAAATGATATGTCATTCTATTCAGAATGTCATGTTCTATCAAATAAAGTAAAAAAAACACCGAGGGTGCCATTTAAAATAAAAAGTTGTAATTTCAGATCTAACAGGAAGTGAACGAAACTAATTGAATACGTCGGTCGATCTTCATTAATGTCATATACTGACATGCCAAATCTTGTGATTTTATCTAGCCAGATAAAAAAGTTATAGCGGTGAGCTACTTTTGAAAAACACCCGATATACCTGAGTTTAACCGTTTTTGAAAAATATTATATTTTATGTCAAAAATGAAAGTTTAACGTAAAATTTTTATCTTCTTTTTCTTCTCTTTTTCAGCGAAAATGGAAAACTAGCTACATGGGGCGCCGTTCTAGGATTCCTCGTCATGATGACCTTGGACGTCGGTTTAGGTTAATCTTAACCTATTTTTTTAGTTTTCAACCAAAATAATTTAAACATAAATTTGTGTTCCTTCGCCGATCATCAAATCATACTTGTGTCTGTCCCAGCCCGATCGTTACTTACTGTCACGAAGTACGATACTGAGTGTTTTCAGAAAGTTTGCATTTTAAATCCCTTAGATTAAGTTTAGTAGTTAAGTTTCAGAAAAAGATGACAGTTGATTATCAAACCACCACTAAAAAAGCCCGATAGCTTTTTGTTGTGTTTTTTCTAGACTTTTTCTTTTTAGTTAATTCCCCTATATCCATAAAAATAATTAAAATAAAAAACGCAAATGATAGACAAACTATTTTGAAATATTAAGAAACAAGGAACATATTAATTGTTTGCTGTAATTTTTTGATGTTAACAGTATTTGAGATATAGCAAAATACAATATGACCGAAAAAACCGGCGTCAACGAAAGCTATGAAATGAACGTCGCTGGCATTTTATATGTAAAATTATATGGGGAATATCATAGATCCTCATTTTCTAGCCAACTGGACGGTGTTTTTTTTTCGATCATACAGTACTTTGGTATGTTGTAAGTTTTTGTTAGATTACCAAAGGTTCTAGGAAATGTAATTTTTTAAGTGAATACATTTAAATTTTGAATTTGTTTGATAGAAACAAAATATCCAAAAAAGGGCATAACAACATTTAAAGTGATACTTTATTAGTTTATGTTATTTTTATGATTAATAATCTCCACAAGTCAAACATTTTTTAAAAGAAGTTTTATTTATCATTTTTTTTAAATGCACCTTCCTCATTGGTAAAAATCAGACAGATCTTATATTACTTATAAAAATATAAAAATATAACCTGTAAAATAAATTTAGATAGAAACAAATCAAAATAATCAACCAAGAAAGAATAATACAGAAATCATGAAATAATGAAAGAGTTTTACCAATATGAATATTATTAATTTAAATCCAAATTTGTATGTACATTTATGAATGTGTAATTTTATGTTTTAACGCAGTTTAAATTTAATATTGTATTTGTTTTGAAATATATATTTTTTTAAATTTTAACCATTATACAGTGTGTCTTAGAAATAAGCATCTTAAGGGGTGGTAGATCTGGTCAAAAGAAACATATTTTCTCTTTTTTTATTTCTCTTCCTTATTTTCCCTTTTTTTATTTATATTTCTTTGCCATTTTTAAAATAAATTGAAAATAACCGAGTTATTTTACTTTGAAAATAAAAAAATGCAACATTTTGAGAACCGCCGGCGATAACCGGCTATTAGCGCTTTTCAGCTTATTGAACGCCCTGTGTTGCCAGATGGTCAGAGAAGTATATTATGCAAAAACAATTCGCAAAACTCCATAACACAATTTTTATTAAATATTTTTTAGTTTTATTTTAATTTTTACTCTTTAGTTAATGTTCGGTGTCCATACCATCCGAAGAGTTTTGCAGATACAACTTTTTTAAAGCTGTGTTACAACACAAAAAAAAATTATAAAACTTATCCACAACATAAAAAAGATACTGATCGCAGATCGAGGTAACAACGGTGACATTTTTTTTTGTTTTATCGCAATACTACACCTAGGTAACTAAAATACGCATACACCATACACTTCACTTAGATATGATTAAAATTAACACTCGTAGATTTTTGTGTAGAAATTTTAGTCAAGAAATTACAGTCAATACAGATATGTAGAATATGAATAATATAGGGGTAGCAGCACTGCAAGGTGTAGATACACCGTAAAGGAAGCTCAGGTGAATAAACAAGTGGCACTAAAAAGTGTTTTAAACAATTTTTCTTCGCCAAAAAACCTTATAGGCGTGTTTCTGGGGTCGAAATATACTACCAGTTTGAATACTTGCGCTTATTTCTGAGACACCCTGTATATTATATCTTGTGGAAATATTTTAAAAGATTTTACTTTAGTAAAAGGTAATATTTTAATTCAGTTGCCCAGTATAATACGGCTATTTAATTGTTGCCTGGTGCAGTTTAGTAGTTGTACTTAAAATAATAATTAATTTACTTACCCTGTAATAGACGTGACTAAAATAATAAACCTATTCCATATTTTAGAGATTATGCTGTTTGTAGTAGTTAAAATTGACAATGAAAGACTTAATATAATACTCCTAGACAAATAAAATGAATAGGTATTATTTTAGTCGAATTTGCTACATTTTTTCTTGTTAATCGTCAGTTCTAAATTTCAGCCAATTGTTAGCAACTACTGCTGTGATACTAAGTTAGACCACCGGTTACTAAATAATAAAAAATAATATTTTTATTTTTTTGTGTTTTATTTCAAGCCTTTTGTTATCTAGATTTATCATTTAATACTATCATAAACTATAATCAAAAGCAAGTCTGGTTGACTTTCGAAATTGGCAATTGAGCCTGGCGGCATCTTGAAAATTGCAAAGATTACAACATTTTTGTTCTTATCTTCCCAAATTTGAAAATGTGTCACCTGATAAATAATAGTACAATTTTATAGAAAACACACATCTGGCTGTCGTTTACATTCACGAAAACTTCGTCAGACTCACAAGTCAGACGTAGTTGAAGGCAAATGAAGAGAGGAAGCGGCCCGGTGCGTATGAATTTAGCGTACCTGGGCCCGAATTCTGGAACTTCGACATAAAAACGTTACGCTTTCAAAGCGGTAAGCGAAAGTATTCGATTAGCGGAACGCCAAGCAGTCGATTTTGGTATTCTCATTACCGTGCGAATCATTTCTGGATACGCGTTGAGCACATATTGACAGAATCGCAATTTCTCAGATATCTAATAGTTTGCTAATAGTCAAATGTGGATAAAACCAAGATTAAACGATAGAAAATGTCAATGCTAGGTGAATTTCATAACCTATTGTTGAATTATATCAACCTATTATTCTTGGCGATTGCATCATAGCAGAGCCATCATAAAACAAGAAGAACCTATTTTTCTATGGATGTAATTGTTCTTATTATACGAGGAAAATGATGAAAACGCTTGCCAAGCTGTAAATTATCAAGTCTTTATTGAGGAATTGATAGAAGAAGAAATAGTTTTTACTAGAGAGCAAGAGAGTGCTAGAATTGTTTCTATTCTTACTGACAGTTCGACAAGCAAAACGATACTTTAAGGTAGCTGTTTTCAAATCGCTTAGCGCAATGGGTAAAGACGCTAAGCGCGTCAGATAAGAATATCCAAATCGGAAGTTAAGTGCGCGCTAAGCGAAAATTAACGTCATATACGCTGAGCGTCTAAAAGCGCTTAGCGTTTTCTAAGTTACAGAATTCGGGCCCTGACAAGCGTTGGACGAGTCTGACAAGGGCTTTCGGGATGTTCCACATTAGCTAGACTATATATTTAGCGGTAATTAATGTAAACTATCATCTGACAAATCTTTAGGACTTTGGAAATAAGGGCAATGGTTTCAACAATTTTTATCCATTTTTTCACCTGCCAAACATATCCTGTGATATTACCCATTCTCACAGATTAGCTAGACTATTTTTTTCTTAATTGCACAAAATGTCTCACTAATATAACTATTTTTACCGCTGGAGAAAAAATGCAGTATATTTTTATTTTCTATCGCATTTTCTGCTTCAACCTATTGGAAGTACCATGTAAATTTTAAAAATTATGAATAACTTCCCCATTTTATTTTACAGAAAAATATATTTGAAACTTTTTAAAAAACTCATTCAAAATGAAACAAATTGTTCATTTTGAATAGTTTACGAATTCGTTTTTGAGTTATGAGAGATACAAAAATACTAAATTAGGCGAAAATTTAAAAATAATACGGTCCTGTTCAAACAATCACAAGTTATGTCACAATATGACCAATCTATTATGATTTTTTTACATGCCATTAGTCTTTTTTCTCTTCTACAGAGATCTGTCAAAAATATTCTCAGTTATATTCCCTGTGAAAAGTTACAAAACATACACCGTAAACATACGACAATCTTTTAAAAATCAATTATATTTCGTAGATAAGTAAACATACTGCTTCAAGAGAAAAATTATTTATTAAATACTAAACAATTCATAAAATTAAGTACTTGTTAATAATTAAAAAATAGATAAAATTTGTCTTACGTTTTTCACCCTCGTCCAATAATTCTTGGTGTTTGGAATATTTAAATGACTTAAAATTATGCTTCCATAAAAATTCGCCAAGCAGTGGTAAGATTGTTTTTCGACTATTTCTCCAAGTATACTTGCTTGGTTTTCATATTCCACTTGTAACAGAATATTTAATAAATTTTCATTTACTATTTCTCCATGGTCCTCATCAATATTAATGTTCTTTTTATATTTACAGTCTTTAATAACTATTCGTGTTGGAATTCTTCTCTTACATTTATAGTCTTCAATAATAAGTGTGGCATATGTGGAAAATGTACAGAAAATAAATCCTTTACAGCTTGTAGATTTTTTCTTCCATAACACCTTTAAACTATTTTTTTTTCCTTTAGTTGTGTTATAGGAAAATGTGTAAATAGATATGATTTACAAATTAAAATTGGCGCGTATACAGGGTTGTTCATCACATACGACACGGAGTATTGTAGCTAAACGATTAGATTTTTACAGATTGTAAGTGTTGGGTTCGTTGAAGGACTATTAGAGCTACAATTTAAAAATATTTTTACAAGATACAGAGTGTCCCAAATATGTAAAAAATATTATAGATGTGTTTTTTTAAATGGAACACCCTGTATATTATTCTATTTTTGGATTCTGCGATTGAAATAAAGGTAAAGTTGATTAATGTTTATCACACTTAAATCTTACCGTTTTTGAAATATTTTCAATTTTATGAAATTGCAGTAAAAATTTTAAGGCTTTATTTCTCCAAGGGTATAAAAGTTTTTAATACTAAATATTTACTGAACATTATTTATTGATCAGATTTTGTGTTGCAATAATAGAAATTTTACTACCTTATACAGAGTGTCCAAAATTTTGTATTAAATAATTACTAGCTTTAAACAGCAATAACTTGTTTAATTTAAACGGAACACCTTGTATATTTTACGTGAATCATAGGCACAATTTAATTGTCTATCAAATTTTATTATACCATTTTTTACCTATCTCTTTAAGTTTTCGTTGAAAATGCATTTTCTTATAGTTTAGACCTCATTTATCACTATACCCATGAAATATTGACATTTCAGATTTTTTTAAAGCAACAAATATGTACAAAATGTACAGTTGGTAAATATTGCAAGCCCATTGGTATACAAAAAAACTATTTAAATCTTTGTAAAAGAATATACCAATTATATAAATATACCACCATTATTTCCGACCAAAAATTAGTTAATTACATACTTTTAAATTGTTTTAATTAATAAAGTATTCTAAATAAATATGGACTTGGCGCAGAAATTAATATAATAATAAGTTATGGAAATGAACGTCTCTGTTTTTATAAATAAGCATTCCTCAAAAAATGCAATAACATTTATAAGGTGTTTCTTTTTAACACACTGTCTAATACACACACAAAATTTTGTTTTTTAGTATTTGGAGCAATTATTATTAATCAACGTAAACAGTCAATTAATGTAGTTTGAATACTGGGGTCATATTAACTGGTCCTCTTTAACAAAAGATATTTATTTTTTATTTTTTAATGAAATAAGCGAACTATATCGACAATATTAGTATCTGTATTTTTTGAAAATTTGTTACATCTTTAAAAATAATCTAAAATGTCAATATTCCATGGGTATATTGATAAATGAGGTCTAAATTATAAGAAAATGCATTTTCAACGAAAACTTGAAGACATGGGTAAAAAATGGTATAATACAATTTGATAGACAATTACATTGAGCATCTGATTCACGTAAAATATATAGGGTGTTCCAGTTAAATTAAACAACTTATTGTCGGTTAAAGCTAGTAATTGTTTAATGTAAATTTTTGGACACTCTGTATAAGATAGAAAATTTTTTATTATTGCAACACAATATTTGATCAGTAAATAATGTGCAGTAAATATTTAGTATTAAAAACTCTGGTACCCTTGGAGAAATGAAGCCATAAAATTTTTACTGCAATTTCATAAAATTGAAAATATTTCAACAACGGTAAGATTTAAGTGTGATAAACCTTAATCAAATTTACCTTTATTTCAATCGTAGAATCCAAAAATAGAATAATATACAGGGTGTTCCATTTAAAAAAATACAACTATAAAATTTTTACTTATTTGGGACACTCTGTATCTTGTAAAAATATTTTTAAATTGTAGCTCCAATAGTCCTTCAACGAACCCAAAACTTACAATTTGTAAAAATCTAATCGTTTAGCTACAATACTCCGTGTCGTATGTGGTGAACAACCCTGTAGAGTCAATATGAGATTAAAAAAAAATATTTCTTTTATAATTATTTTTAGCAACAATAAAATCAATTTGACATTAAAAGATTGAATTTGAAGATGCATGTTTGTTATTCTAATTAGGACCGTATTATTATTATTATTTTTATTAATTTAGTATTTTTGTATCTCTCATAACTCAAGAACGAATTCGTATAAATCATACAAAATGAACAATTTTCTTCATTTTAAGGAGTTCTTTAAAATAGTTCAAATACATTTTTCTGTAAAATGAAATGGGAAAAACTTATTCATCATTTTTAAAATTGATATGGGATTTTCTATGTCCAGGTTATCGATGAAAGACTAGACTGTATATGAAATTTACTTAGAATATCGTTCCGAATAATTCTATTGGTGTTTGCTGACTGGGAAAATAAGTGCCGAAAATCTTCACAGCCTCCTGGATTAGTATGCTATGGTCGAAAATTAATCTTTTATAATAAATTAGTAAAGAACGAAATAGCCGCTGTACTTGTATCACAGTTGCACCATAGCAAAAGAAATTTCTATTATATTACTTACAAAGAGATATCTATGCACCTGCCTGTTTGTCCTTGCGTTATAAATCATTGTTGTTGCATTCTATTCACTGGCAGTTATGTCAGCAGACCTGTTCTCCAAGAGCCTTAAAGCGAAAAAATCAAAGACACGTAAATGATAAAAAGCCATTAGATAATAAAAGACCGGTGCTAATAGCGATTGTGCAAAATCCTTTCACATTGTGTGTGTGTGCATTTACAAGTTTCATTCATGGATTTAATAAAGCGGCCGACATTGATCGTTATTTAGCATGAATGAAGTTTGCGGTATGCGAGATTATGCAGCAAGGTGTATTTATTTTTAGAATTTCCTCTGTGTTTCGCGTTTTTTGCTGCTGCTGTCGAGGGA